AAGTATTTTTCTTCACTTGAAAACACTATCTATCTAAAACCAAAGAGAGTTAAAGGATTAGTTTAACACATTATTAGATTTGTAACATCCAGATTATAATAATGCACCCCTTCTTCGGAGAATTTCAAAATGCTATTCTGCAGTCAGGCAAGCAATCTGTTCACTTGACAACAGAAGAGTATTTCAAATCTAATACAAAAACAAATGGCCAGTTCCTGAACTCTACTAAGAATAAACTGAAACAAAGGCATTTTTACCTAAAGAACATGGATACATTTTGGTGCAAGGTGAATACTGGGCTGTACCATTCAAGTGGAGAAAAATTCACCTGCACATAGCAGACTACAGTCCACATTTCCACAGATCACAGAGAACACTACTTGGGTTACAAGGGTCTATATTAATTGGTTAGTGATACCAGCAATTCCTGTTTCACCAGTGAGAACCTCCCCACACATTCAAAATGCAATAATGCCTCTAAATCACCACTGACTTCTACACACAAGCCAACAAAGCAATGCACTCGGCTTCATGTAATGCCACACACCTGAAATAAAAGGAAGACTAAAGATTGTGCCAACAGTTTTGTCACCAGCAAGCATCATGCAAGCACTGATGAGACAGTCTGAGACCACAGATAACAGCAGGACCTATGATTCCACTAGAAACCTTGTTACAGATTTCAGGGCTAAATTCCCCGGGCAAAGTGCTTCTACCTTATGAGACAAGAAATTGATTCCCACCTGTTTACTTAAGACCCTGTACAGTTTAAAAGTAAACACTGAAGACATTTTGCTCATTATCTTTTCTAACAGAATTTAATTTTTGCCTGTATGGAAGACAAGTTTCCAAATTGAGGATTTTCTGGATATTATAATGCAACTTTTGGGACTTTCTTAAGAGACCAATCCCATCAAAGCCTGTTTTGATAAGAAACTTCTGAACAAGACTTTCAGATTCCAGATCCGTTAAAAACAAAAATTTAATTTTGCCCTTCCTAACTGCTACGCTGTCCAACCTCCCACTCAAGCCACAAACTGAAGACTGAACTTGGAGTCCTGACTCAGATGCAAGTCAGATTTGCACCAGGATGCATTACCAGGCCTGGAATAGAAGATTACCTAGAGCAACATTTACAAAGCAACTCCACTGTCTTCAAAAATTTGGAGGCCATTTCTAATGCCCTTGAAGTTATCTCAGCACACTTTTCCTCCAGGACTAATAAACCAGAAGTCCAACATTTTTATGCATCGACATTAATTTTATGCATCGACATTAACACACAAAACAAGTGAGGGGCTCAAATGACTTAACTGGTTATTTTTATTAAATGCACTGGAAGAAATTCCTATTACAGTACTATTATACATTAAGAACAAGCCATTGATGTCAGAGTAGATTCTGGTATTACTATGAAATATCCAGGAACCGTATTTACGGGAAAAAAAAATCAATAGAACATTCTAAATTCAAGTAAAATGTCCAGTCTTCGTCACGGATACATTTGGAGAAGTGCTTATGCCATTACTTTGGTCATCTCAGAAGTATTAACATAGTATTCAAGCCCCTACCACCAACACTCCACCTGTATCCCTTCGGTCTTACAAGGCAATAAGGAAGCTTGTTTACCATCTTGTTGTGGGCTGGCCTTGGCTAGACACTTGGTACTCGCTGATCTATTTTATCATTCCTCTTCTCAGCAGGAAAAGATCATGGAAAAAAAACTTCATGGGTCAAGACAAAGGCAGCTCAATAAAGCAAAGGTCTCATAGAGAAGCAAAGGACAACAAAAAACTTACTCCCTACTTCCCAGTGGGAGGCATGCCCAGCCACTTCCCAGGAAGTAGGGCTTCAGTACGCAGAGTGGTTTCTCCAGAGCACAAATGTCACAGTAAGTGGCACAAAGCTCTGTAGAGAGAATGGAAATTTCCTCAACATAAATGTTTCATTTCTTACTGGACTTGAAAATACAAAAAACCTCTGGTTAAACAGACAAGTGTTTAAGTTATGTAAGCTGGATAGGTCAAAACAGGTACTAGTTTGCTTTATAATAACAAGCATTTAATACTGCAGCACAGTTGTGTTGGACAAAGTAATAACATTTACTCATTTTTTACATATTTGAAAGCTTCTAAAATGCTTCAGCTGAAAATAGAACATAATTTACCTTTTATTAAAAGGTCCAAAAAGTAAATTGAAATGAAATGAAATTGAAAAATGAAATTTTTCAAACTGAAGAGAACTGGACTGAAGACAGGTAGAAGAGGTGTTTCTACAGATGTAATCACTGCTGCTCCAGTACAATAAACAACAGTGACAGCCGTATACATGCACATGTCAAGGGTCACGCTAAATCCAGCCTGTAACACTATGTTTTGAAATAGTTTGTTACAAAGTCCCAAGACCACGAAAGAAGTTGGTCATTTCTCTGCACATCCTCATAGTCTGATTTATGCCAGAGAGCCTGGCGAAAGAAGAAACTATTCCTCTTTCTACAGCCTCACGCTTCAAGACTTCTGGAAGTGTTAGTGTCATCTTGCCATCCACTTAACCCTTGCAATAGCACTAGAAGTGGGATCAAGAGAATTATCCATTTTTTATTAACTTATCCAAAATCAGTTTGTCCTTATGCTCCCACAAACATTGGAATGCACTTTTACCAGTGCTCCTCTACCCACAAGCTGTTCAAGATGTTTAGAACATCTTACACAAAAAGCCATATCACTAACCTACCCTCCTCCAGGCTCTGCACTTCCATGTCCTGCTGTATTTTGCTTTGTTTTGAGAAAGCTTCTCTCTCACACTACCATTAATTTAGAAAACTTCCTATGAATGTTCACAAATTCCCACTGTTATTCAGAGAATCCTCAATGACTATATATACCAGAAGTTCTGACAGTCAGAACTCACTCAAATTAAAACAAGCTAGTCTATTATTTTCAGTTTAATTTTCCACAAGCCCTTAAGTACAGGTGTTTATGTGCTTACCCAGGACCTTGTTCTGTGGTACGCTGGGGCTTCCTAGGGAGACAAAACATCTGCAAAGCCATCAGTACAGAGAAATCCAGTGCTAAATGAATTTCTGAAGATGAACACGGTTAAGTAAGAAAGTCCAAAGGCAACAGAGAACTGCAGCTCCTCAAGAGAAACTCTAATATGCTTAAGTAATTAAATAACCAACCACTTATACTGCACACTCCTTACTCAGACATTACAAGCCCAAGTCACCTTTGCCTTCAGTCCCACCAGGCTGAGGGAAGAAAGCTAATCCAGAGGATGGAAAGAGCACAGGGAATGTCTATCACCCTTTAAAAGTCAAAAGATCAAAGCTTGCTTTCTAAGCAGCAGCAAATCATTATAAAGTCAACTTAATTTCCAAGTGGCACTAAGGAGCTACAGTTCCTAATCAGGTAATGAAAGTACCTCTACTTTGCTATTACACTACCTGCAATTTGTCCTCTCCTTCACATACCAATATTCCTTATGACTCAAAATTTGCCTGCCAAGCAGCAAAGATGCAAAAAGGTATTGAGGAACTTGTACAGCTGTCAGGGGTTGGCTTCCAGACAGCAAACTGGATACAGCTGCTCCTTGGTAAAATCACTGTCAGGAACAAGTTCTTGGTAGCAGAGTCACACACAACTTTCCTGCAAAATCTAGCCAGATGAGAACAGAATCCCTTCTGGAAAACCTAAACTACAGATTCTGCCAATCCTCTGTTCTCTGCTTTTCCTTCTTAAAGCAAGGAAAGCACAAATAGTCTATGCACAGGAAACTGTTAAGCTCATCCCTCAATTAGTCAAGGAAAAATAAAGCAAGAAAACCTCCACTGTTGCTACCCACATAGAATAAGGAAGATACTGAGAAAATGTGTAATTTTAACTGCTCCTAAACGATAGACTTTCCCAGACAAGAATGTAACAAGTCAAAATTGAGGAGACAATCACCTATAAATAACTTGCTGTGGTGCCCAGAACTCCAGCACCCTTCCAGAGGATATTCTGAGAACTGCCCTTGGTAATACACACATTAAACCAGATAATGGAAATCATCGCTTCAGCAGGATATAAAACTCCTCTCTTTTCATAAAGGTACTCATTGTGTAAACTGTTCTTTGAACAATAACCCAAACATCTGCATTAACAAACAGAAGCCCGTTAAACAACGCTCCTCCTTAGTCATGACAGGAGCCATCTGTTCATCCAGCCAACCCAGCTAACCCCAGGCAAGTGTGGCAAGCACCACCGCAACTTGCTCATGTTATGAATCCTTCTACTCCATGTTTCAGTTCATGTTATTTGTGTTTCCAAACTGCAACAACACAGCATTAATCATAACACAGATGTATTAACACACACACTCTACGTTAAAAGCTCCAAACAGAAAAGAAAATGACCTCTGGTCTTCAATTAAAAGACACAAGCGGGCCGTAGCCTTTCACTCATAGGGATGCCAGCTTGTACTTTCTGTAGTCATTCTTGTCCTCTTAGATGTACTTTCTCTTTTCTGCCTTCCTATTCTAGACATTTTTTTATGTGCTTAGCCTAGTTGCTCTTTCAAGCGGATGCTACTTTTTAAGGGGACACTTCACGGAGTTTACTGGATTCTACTCAAAACTCCCGCTAAATTTCAAGGGTTAACCTTTGCGTCCAGAAATACTTGAGTAGGTCCTGTTATTCCAAAATTCAGTGCCCTCCTGAAGTGAATATCTTTTCGCGCATCTTGCCCACGCAGCTCTACCAGCTCCCTGCTCTCACTTACTGCCGAGGGAAGCAGCTCATCACTTACAGCTGCTGGATTCGCCCGTGCACTGACCAGACCCTGGTACCCACCGCAGACAACAAAACCACCCGCCTCGGCAGACACACGGCTCATTGTGTTAAAACCTGGCGTGGGCAGAGTCGAGAGGCAAGGGAGAGGGACCCGAGCCCTCCCAGCCCACGGCTGCGGCGTGTGTGCGGCTGCCGCCCGCAAGGAGGGAAGCGGGGACTGCTCCGTACCTGACCCAGTTGTCGCGGAACTTGCTCTGCTGGGGCTGGTTCAAGTAAATGGTGCGGGCTGGTGCCTCGTCCAGATCCGCCGCGGACGTGGCTCCGGACATCTCATCATCCGCCTTCTTATAGCCCGAGGTGGAACAGACAGGTCCTGCAAGGAGAGCGCGGAGGGGAGGCGGTCAGCGAGGGG